CCGTTTTGTGATCCCAACGCGAGCAGTAGTATTCCGGCGCATTTTGGCTTTGACCCATACCAAATCGTAGCTCGATTCATGATACCCATCCTTGTTTGAAGCTAGAATTAAGTTACCCATTACTTTTCGGTATCGAACCAGCAAGCTCGAAGCTTCTTGGACCCGGATTCGGAAGCTCAAGCCTTCTCGACGTTGACCCACTTCTAACCTAAGAGGTTTTGGTGTGAGTCAGCAGGTAACGACTCACCTAGACTTAGTTTCGATTAAATTTAAAAGTTTTGAAGCGAACTCTAACCCAAGTTTGATTGTTTTTGGATTTATGAACCCTTCGGCGAGTTTAGTAGTCTGTTAGGACTTTGGTGTAAGTAGCCTCTTACTTTAGGGGATTGTTCGTTGCTGGTATGCTTGGTTGCTTATTATGTTATGTTCTCTCTTGGCTAAATCATGCTTCTCGTTAATTATTCTAACATATTGATCTTGTTGTTGGATGCATTGTGAATGATATGGATATAGTAACTTTAAATATTTATTTCTTGTTGATGGAAGATGTGTTAATTGTTCCGTTACTGAGAGTGGATATGCTTATGGTATGATATCATTACCGTGGTTTGGTGTTTGAACTGAATTCTGGAGAAGTATATTGCTGGATATATTATTGAATTATGGATAGTTATGTAAGTTGTGTGTTTATAGTGAGTTCTTGTGAGATTTATTATATAGTGAAAGCATAATGACATACTGGTTCATGATTAGTATCTTTGTCTGTGGTTATGATAGCATGCTGAAATGTATTTGTGAGCTGAGTGATGCATGGACCATGGCTTAAGAAAGCATATAGTAGGACTTCGGTGAGAGTTGGTTCTATTATGAAGTGAATGGGTGAGTATCAGGACCATAGGGTTGACACGACACTAGTTGGGTATCGAGGCTTTGAATAAATGGTCGAGGGTCGATACGCCAACTTTGGACAAAGATGAGTGTCGATGCTTTGAATAAACGGTCGAGGGTCGATGCGATGAATCTTAGAGAGAAGGCAAGTATTGGGGCCTTGAAGGGAAAGGACAAGGACCAATACGTTGCAAAGTCATCAAGGCCTGAATAGATGGTCAAGGGTCAATGCAACAGTTCGAGGCCTTGGGTGCAAAGGTCAATGATCGAACGCCAAGCGTCGTAAGGAAGTGTCGAGGCTCTGAATAGATGGTTAGGGGTCAGTACGACTCGAAGGAGTAAGTCTTGGAGGAATATGAGAGAGAATGAGTGAATCATGATGTGAGGATTGGGTTTTGACACGTAGTTTTCATGTTTAGTTGAGTTTATATTATATAAAGCAAGATGACTTATTAAGCATGCCATTTGAAATCCTTGTAAAGTATGTTGTTTATGCGTGACCCTTCAAGTAAGGAATGCTTACTGAGTACATGTTGTTGTACTCACCCCTTCTCCTTTTTCCTTCTAGATTTTGTAGGTAACGAGGTAACGTACGAAATGGTGATGGTGAGGAGGAGAATTGACTGGAAGGACCATACARCGTTGTGTTACTTTGTTTTCATTTTTAGATTGAATAGTGGAAGTTTTTTCTTTTAGCTTGATTTTATTATTTAGTTAATTGTTTAGTTTTGTTTAGATTCCTTTTGAAGAACGCTTTAAAGTTGTCATTATGAAACCTTTGAGATTAACTTTAGTTAAACGAATAGCTTTTGATTCATTATCATTTGAGGTTTCTCGTAGTGGATAGTTTATGGTTGGTAAATGTGGATTAATTTGCCTTAAACGAACTTGTTGGTCAAAATTGTAGTTTTTTTCTTTGTTGATGGTGTTGAGTGAATAGAAGGTCTTAGTAATGTGCCCCCATTTATTTTGTTGATGGTGTTGAGTGAATAGAAGGTCTTAGAGCGGAGTTGTTCTTGTAGATTGACTTAGATCCTAGGTTGTTGAGTGTTATGGTCTTTCTTGGTCTCCTTCTCCTCTCCATCACTAGGTATGTGGACTTGTTACCTTATGGTTGGTTGATTTATGGACTTATTATTCTCTTATATTGACTTTATGCGCTTATGCTTAACATGATTTGTTTTATGAATTGCTACGATTGATGATTAGTTACGCGTAGGATGCTCCCTTAGTTAACTAGATAGTTTTTCTAGAGTAGCTCAGAACTTGACAGTGGCGCAGTCAGGTCGCAGGGGAATGCCGGGGCAATTGGGACAATTAGGGCCGAATTCGGATTCCGAATCCTAGACTTGGGGCGTTACACTTATCTTTCCTGGTTACTTTTGCATAATCTCTAGAAGCTGTTTGGCGAATTTATTTGTTGCAATTTGTTTTAGCTACCGGGATTTCTTCTGAATTTTATCGCCTGCAGGGAAGTCGTAATCTTAGTTCCTAGATTTGGTGATCATGGGAGGTCATGGAGGTCTGAATATTCTTCCTCAAAAGCGATGGAATGTGTACAACTACGAGAACAGGGAGAAAGTGCGGCGAGATGAAGAAGCCGCAGCAAAAGAAGAACAGCTTAAACGCGAGCAGGCAAGGAAACGGGATGCCGAGTATCGTCTTGAGCAGCTTCGTACTGCACGGGGTTTAGCTCCAGTGAATGACGTTGCGAGGCCTCTAGAATCAGACCTGAAACCTGGTCACATAAATCTATTTGAAGGAATCAAGATTTTTGATCCAATTAATGGTTCAGAGAACAGAGTTGAAGATGGATCTAAGAAGAAGAGGATGAAGAAGGAAGAAGTGGAAAAAAAGGTTATCACAGCTGAAGACGAGAAGTATAAGTTAGGTTATGGTGTTGCTGGAAAAGGAGTCAAGTTGCCATGGTACCTTGAGAGGCCTATGGATGATTCTGATAGCGATGAAAATGACAGTTCATCGAGAGTGGTGAGTGGGGATGTAAAAAAAGGAGAAAAGAAAACCTTGGAAGAACTGAGAGCCGAGCGTTTGAGGCGAGAGCAGAAGGAGAAGGGAAGGGAGCGTGCTCTAATTGCAGAGAGAAGCCGGAAGATCGGGTCAGCTTTTAGAGAAGGAGATTCATCATCCAGGAGGTAAGCTAAGCTAACAACAATTTTCTTGTCTTTCTTATGTGTTTGGAGAGGTCATGTTACATTACTTTCTTAAGCCATAGGATTACCTTCTAATGGGATTATAGATGGTTAGATTATAAGGAAATCTATTTTTATTCAGAAAACTTGAATTCTTTTGCTTGAGAAAAACATTATGAAACTACAAGTTCTTTTCTTTCATTCAAGAACTTTGAGGCAAATCAAAATTATCACCGACTTTTTCTGACGCAAACGATCTATTATCCTATCTCTATATTTTATTCATCAATCTGCAATCCTCAGAACATTTAGGCCCGATTGATGGGTTCAGAATCATGTCATTCACTTGTAAACATAAACATGTTCAGAAGAATAAGGCATCTCTCTTGACCATGCAGGTGGAAATCCAGACGATAAGGACACATATCCTCAGGATTATGATATCATCTTGGTTTTAGCTTGCAGTTTTTGAAGAATGCTGACTTCCAGTATATTGAGATGATCTTTTGAAGTGCAAATTCTAAGCGTAAAATGTTATTTGCATCTTATAATGGTGTGATGCATTTCAATGCTCTTAAATGAAGATCCCAGGGAATTGTTTATGTTCAAAGCCCTCCTGAAAATTTTGATACTCTTTGGGTGAAATTTATGTGGGCCTTGTGGAATATGTAATTTGCAGTTCGTGCGGACAAATATGTTCTCAACTCTCTACTGGAATCCATTGTACTATTCTCATATGTAAGTGAAAACTGATCCGAGTTTGTCAAAAATTTCAAACTTCATCATTTGTTTTTACTAGTAACAAGGCAATTGCAAATGTCTCAATAATGCCTTATTTCTTTGAAATTAGTGTGAAAAAACACATTCTTACTGTACCAATCCATCTGTGGAGTAAAATGCAATTTGTTCAAACTGCATAATTTAAAGGTTAAATTATCACAATCAACCATCTTCCGAAATGTAGAATATAAGAAAAATGTAATCCTACAAAAAAAAATCTTGGTGGGTGGCTTTATAAACTTCAAATTAGGTGTGTTAGGCTGGATTTGAAGCTCATGATTTGTAAAAATAAATATTATAAGTAAATTTCATAAGCATAAACCTATAACCGAGGTAGATTCTTTCATTCGTATCTTGAGGTAAGCTGGTATTTTGATTTAATGGCACAGTGGAAGGAAAATAAAAAATGCTGAACAATTGAGGATGTAAAATTATTAACTGAACAGTTCCACAGTGAAAAATATAACAAGTTGAATGGTAAGAGAAGCAGAAGGAAGAAAAAAACAAGAAAAAACTCTTTTAAGTTACAGAGAGTGTGGAGTGTGCTACCTTGCAAATTCAGCAACTACAAATTCTTGAACACCACCTAACAATTTGCTACTTCAACAAATAAAAACTTACTACAGATCCACCCACTGAACATTAGTAGTTCCCTTCCTTTCATCACAGAGAATATAATGATGTAAATCCACTTTGCTGCAAGGAGATTCTCAAGTCTTCTTAATAATATAGCCAAAGATTATTCCGATCAATCCGATTAATATGACGAACAGGAACGAGATGCCACCGGCRTTTTTCCTGCCTTCACGCTTCAACAGTTCCTGCACAATGCAAACCCTCCACAACATAAGAAACTGATGTAGCTCTGATATTATAATTCTAATATTCCATGAAAATAAGGATCAGATTTGAGCATGACAAACCCAACAGTGTAATCAGTAATCACAAACTAAATTCAACATGGAAAATATTTTAAGAGTAACTTTCAAGAGGTTTCAGGCAAAGAGACCAAGAAATTTTTTGAAGAATCTCAAAAGTAAAGGTGATGTTTCCAAAATCCAATGCAACATGAAACTTCTTGTGCAAAATTGCATTTACTGAAGCTTCAAACCGATCCCTCTTACCAATTCCTGACGAAGTTTGTTGTTCTGTTGGATGGCATTATTCTTTTCTTCTGTGAGTTTAGTTATGAGGGCTCTAGCCTGCACATATATCGGTGGTCAATAAACTTGCAACAAAAGTATGTAGCGGCCTGCTAGAAGCAGAAGGCATATGCATATACGAAAACACACAAAACACACAAAACACACGTACACAAATAGCTGAAGTGGCCCAAGATTTAGTCAATCAAACCATCTGCCGAATAATTTAAAAAGATCTGAGAACCATGACAAAGGTTTGAGAACATTGCACAAACAAATAAGAAAAGAACAATATTCTTATTTAAAGGAACAAGAGAACGAGTGATCCAGAGGTGGTTGGAATTATACATTATTGTACTTTTCAGATTTTGGCAAGGAGCTCTGAAGCAAAACGGATGGAGTTTCACATATTACCTCCAATATCTTTAACCTAATTAGTATCTAGTCACACTTGTGATTTGAGGCTCAGAAAAAATTATGTCTTGGAAGATAGAAGCACATTCTTTCTATAATTGAATGGGGGGTATAGTCACCACGTCATAAGCCTAGCTTAGGATCTTTGGGCAAAGAGACTTAGGATTAGCTGTGTAAGGAAATTAAGTTGGATGGTGATGTCAAGGAATAGAGTATTCGTGGGAGTATTAGAACATTGAACGAGCAAGCCAACCGAACACATAAAACATGCTTTAGAGTATCAGTTAGTTGCTATGAAACTTTGGAAAGAGTATAAATAAACAGCCACAAGGATATAGCATCACTTTCTTTATGGATAAAGGATCCTTTAAATCAACCAGTTTTGGGAAGGTTCTCTCCAAGTGGACATCCTGTCCTAACTCTTTACTTGTCATTGGGAAAATGTAAAATATTTACTGACTGGGGTAGGTGATGCTCTTGAACTCATGACCTCAAAAATATTGAGGTTTACAGTTTACCTCTTCACCACCCCACTAGACCAATCCATGGTGTTTCTATCCCAATATTGCAATACTTGTGGACAAGAAATTATGTCCAAAGCATATATCCATGAATTCATTAACCCTAGCAGAATTATGCTAAGTTCATTGTTTTCTGATGATAATAGTTGTATTTAAAGTTAGGAAATACAATAAAAGATCATATAAGAGACCAGACCATTACAAGAAATCTATACAACACAAGTAACCAGCAAGTTTACTCAAAATCTCAAAAGTAAATTCTCAACTATGAATATTATGACAAGGAAGTTACATTCACGTCTGTGTTCACACTAGAACATCTTTCACATAATATGATCTTTCAGGTAAGGCTGGAAATACAATAAAAGATCCTTGAAATATAGCCAATCATTTTGAGAAATCCACAAAAGAAATTCCAACAGGCAACATTTTCACCCAAATCTTGACTAGTATATCATCAATTACTAAAAATACAATGCTTGGAAAATTATATTGTTTACTGCTCAGAGTAAAGTAACACTCCAACCACAAGGTCATATATTTGCATTGAGTTCTATCTTATAACAATTTTATCATAGAAGTGGAAATTTGGCTGAAAAAACCGAATACATCATAAAAGACACATAAATCAGGCATCAGAGTTACAGAACACAAAATAGAGAATCATCATAAACAGCAGGCACAGAACCTTATGCCTATAACATGCAAAAAATCATCCTATCTTTTACCTCTGCAGATTTATCCTGGGGCTCCAACCGTTCAACATATCCCCTTGTAGCCTGCTGCAAACAGAAGGTAAAGGCGTGTAAATCAAATTGGGAAAATGAATGAATAAGGGAAAAGAGAAAAAAGGGAATCTGACTACTCACAGTATTTAACTCGGTATCATTGAAGTTTCCATTTTCTGAAACAGAGCCTCTTGGGGACGACCCTTCTTCAGAACCTTCCGGTACTGGAGAAGGTGGTTGAGGTGGAGAAACATAAACGACTTTCAATTTGCATTCTTCTACCACATGCCCTGCCTCCTTATTGAACTGCAAATCCCAAGCCCATAAAAAAGAGTAAAAGGCTAATAAGAACCACAAGCCTTAAACATTCACACTATAAAATACCATTTCTGCGTTGATCTCCTTTGCGGATGCGCCATCAACAGTTTTAACACTCTGGAGGAGAAACTTGTCTTTGCATTGCATATCAGCAGGAGCCTCTTTCTGGGCTTGCATGGTGACTGCACAACAGAAGGGCTCCCAAAATAAGTAACCACAAAAATTGTTCGAAATTAAAAGCCATTAGTGAAATATATGATATTGGCATTTGGCACCTATAACGTCACATGTCGACCGAGGTGAGACAATTCCAGTGTTTGGGCGAACGCAGTACTTTTTAGGGTTCGTAGTTTTAACCTGGAAAAGGATAAAATTCATATTGAGTGGACAGAAACATGGAACAAAATGATCAAACACGAGTTCAATCTGCGCGCATTTTGCCAGTAAATAAAGAATTATAAACTGAAAAAAAAAACCCCCCGTTAGCAAATTGAAAATTGACGAAATTAACAAACTTCGTAACGTGATCTGACGCCAGACAGATATATCAAGAGAAAAAGGAAAAGAAATAACAAAAATTGCATACGCCTACATCACAAATCCAAAACACCTTCTTAGGAACACTAAAGCATTTCACTGGAAAAAGATCAATTACCCAGATCATAAAAATTGAACTGAACTAAAAAGAATCGTACCTTAAATGCAACGTAGCTCTCGGTCTTGTTCGACAATTGAAGGGAACAAGAGATCTGCTTCTTCAATTCGACTAACCGCAAAGAAACAGCAAAAAGAAAAGAAAGTAAGGAGAGAACAAAATTGAAAGACGCAAAAAAACCCCCAAAAGATTACAGATCCGCGTGTTAGAAACGAGTAATTTCGTCCCGACAACTACTCACAGGGAAACTTGAGCTCGAGAGGTTCGATGCTGAGGAGTTCTCCCGTACTCATTGTTGGAACAGTGGCCCGCGAACACAGGGAAGAAGAATTGAGGAATACAGAACAGAAACTAGAGGAAGAGCAGAGGAGAATCTGGAAATGAGTTTCGTTGAGAGCAAGTTTCGCGAACAGATCGAGAAAAGAGAGGAGCAACAATGGCGAACGTGCTGAAGACAAGAGAAGGCTCCACGAAAACACGTGCACCAAACCAAGTAACTCCTCTCTCTCTCTCTCTCTCTTTCTCTCTTCTCTCCTTTATTTAGCCGATCGGTCATTTTCGATGGGCCTTTCGGGCCTTTATTGGGCTTTTATTGGGCCTCTCTTTTTTGCAATATTTGTATTAAAGCCATAATAGGAATTTAATCTTGCAGAAATAGTAATTTTAAGGCTTAATTGTAAATGTGGTAAAAAACTAAATTGCATGCCAATTACTGATTACTATAATTGTCTCAATTAATGTTTGGGGCACTCATAAATTATACAGACCAATTATTTCTGTAGACAAAATTAGGAACAAATGTATTATTGCTTGCCTAGGCATAATTCAATTGATTAATGCATATATCTTCAACAAAAGGTTAGACGTTGTCAAAACGAACATAACTCATGATAATTGACATATACCTCTAACCAAAAGGTTGTGAGTTCGAATCCCCTCCTCAACATGTTGTACTAATAAAATTTATACCTCCAAAATACAATTCAAATTCAAAACTCTATATAAGATTGAATAAACTACCATCTTACCTCAATTATCCATTGTTTTTTTGGTATAACAAAAGTGAGATGAGATTGAAATTCTAACCTCTATGGGAGGAGCAATGTGAGTTATCCATAGAACTCATGTTGGCCTCAAAAAAGTACTATTAACTCTATATATATTTTTTTTGATACTAGTGAGTGTCTACCAATTTATGCTCATCTCGGTTATCCACCGCCTGACCTTACAATATTTGACGCTACAAAACATGTAGAAATTAATTTTTAAGATAGGCATCATGGAGTTTGAACTCATTCCCTCCCACTTTACCTTAGTCCCTTTGGACCAATGAACCACTCATGACGGTTAAAAGTATTATTAACTATTATTGAAACATTTTTCAAAATTTTCATAAACATGTTCTTGAAAATTCTAAAAACACAGAAGCACATAAACACTAACTCTAAACATCATCCTCAATCATATATTCTTCCAAGGGAGAAAATTACAAGCAGTTACAGATTCAGCTCTCACTTCTCATTCCATAAAAAAAATACAAGAAAATGTGGATAATTTTAGGCCAGCCATTGGTAACACTGAACAAAGCTTTTATTCCAGAGAATTAACACTAGTGTACTTATAATAGATGCCTCTATTTTGGTTGAAGATATCAAAACCTTTTTGCCATTTAGAACAGTCAACAATTATAAAGGAAACATACTGCTGAGAAGTCATCTGGTGGTGGTTAAGGCTTTATTTTCTCCAACAACTTCTCAGCTTCAATAAATCCGATCGATCCCAAYGATAAATACTTTGCAAACTTCCACCTGTTCGTGCCCGATTTTTGTTGTTGAAATTAAATAAAATAGCATCAAACTGATGGATTTTTTTTCAAAGGCAATATCCCAAGCATTTATGAATCATGTGAAAACAGAGAAACTGGGTACCTGGGTGTGTAAGGAAGTGCAAAACAATGGAGATGTAGGTGATTGACACTGTTCAATGGTGGCTGATGGAAGCCAAATCTTTCAGGAAAGAAAAAATAAAGATGAGCATCAATTTAGTATTATGCAGTCTTGAGAATATAAAGGATAAGAGAACTAAATGTAGAGTTGAAATAGACAAGTTGGGAACCATGCAGTGTTTCCTTTATAAGGAACAAAGCATTTCATTGATAAAATGTAATATACAAAGAGGACCTCGAAAAACCGACCAAGTTACAAAAATCTCTTCGCCCTCGAGGGGTTGGCCTGAGTACTAAGAGCTTGGGATGTTTGGAGATACCTTACGAGATCAGCTCGATGTAAAATATTTAGGGGTCGTTTGACATCGTTCCTATTTCTTGTTTCTTGTTTTCTATTTCTAGTGAGAAACAAAATTGCGTTTCGTATGTGTTTCTTGTTTCTTATTTGTTTTTTATTAAAAAAGAAACAAAAATACGTTTGGTAATCATTTCTAGTTTCTTGCTCTTTGAAATTTTAAATTAAAAAAGTAAAAAAATTTTATATGACAATTAATTTTTCAAATTAAATATTTAAATATTTATGTTATATTTATTTTTTGATATTTATTATATATTTTATAAGTAAAAAAAAGATAAAATAATATTTTTATCAATGTTTTGAAAAAAAAAAAAAACTAAAAACAAAAACAAGAAAACAAGAAACTTGATTATGTTGTTTTCAGAATGTATACACAATTTTAGAAACATTTTCTAAAATAAAAAATAAGAAATAAGAATAATTACCAAATACTTATATCTCTAAAAGACCGAAAATGAGAAACAGAAAACAAAAAATAGGAAATGGAAACTTTACCATGGGCCTATGTGTCTATATAGATCCTGTTTATGGATTAACGAAAATGTGCAAAAGCTTTATTTGCCTCTGTCATTTTACGAGTCTCTTCCTTTTTACGTATGACATTGTCAATCCCTTTGGCAACATCCACTAATTCGAAATGGACCGAACTGTCTCACGCGTTCTGAACCTAGCTCACGTACCGCTTTAATGGACGAATAGCCCGATCATTTGAACATACTATAGTCCCAAGCAGCGGAAAGCCAACATCGACGTGCCAAACCTTCTCGTCAATGTGAGCTCTTGGAAAGATCAGCCTTAATTGACTAGTTATAAATAGAACCAAACTCTGGATCAAAGGATTATCCCGAACCTGGCTCTAGGGGGGAAAAACCTCCTAGTCACGAACATATGATTGTTATTCCTATCAAGTCCTTGGAAGACTGTTTGACCAAATTTCTCAAAAGAAAGCTCCAAAAGAATTTAGCTGAAGTACTTTGAGCCTAATGTTTATATTATAACTATGGCCACAGAACATGAGAAAAGAAATCTGCCACATGGTTTTACATTGGTTGTTCACGTACTCCTAGCACTGGAATAGTCTACAACCCAACCTTTCACCTTGGAGAAAAATTTTCCAAACACAACCTTATGCTAAAACCCATTTGTTTATATTAGGCATTTTACATCTTAAGCAGACCCAGTCCTTCAGCAGAAATCAGATCACTTAAAGAAATAAGACTAAAAACTGCTCTCCTTTTAAAAAAAAGTTTAAATACTAATTTTACTAATTTGATCCTGGTACTTTAAGTTTTGGTTCATTTTGGTCCTTGTACGTTCAAAGCGTCCAATTTCATCTCTGTATTGTCATCTTTTGTTCATTTTAGTTCCTCTACTTGCAAAATGTCAGTTTTGGTCTCCATACTTTCGAGAAATGACCATTTTGATCCGTATTTGCAAAATTTTAATATAAATTTTAGACCAAAATGGTCGCTTTTTTAAAATACAGAGACCAAAATGGATGTTTTGTAAGTATAGGCACTAAAATGAACAAAATTAGCATGGAGACCAAAATCGACATTTTGAAAGTACAGAAACCAAAATAAACCAAAGTCAAAAGTAAAAGAACGGAACTTGGTATTTAAACGTTTAAAAAAACTATAACGCTCTTCAAGTATCTTTCCTACATCTGTGCTGCTGCTCAACAGAAAGGCCACCCATATTCTTCATGCAATCTAGCAAATTGAGCTCAATGTCCAAGGTATCCTTTGGCCATGGACGAATTTTTTAGAACAAATCGAAAAGCCAAACTTGCAGAACTTCACCACTACAGTACATTATTCATCACTTAATCTACCTCACAAGAAAGAAAGAACTAAGCTGCTACCGGGATACTGTCTTTAAAGTAGCTTCCTTGATGAATGCTTTCCTCACTAATATAATTATTCAAAATATATTACCATCAACCAATACAAACAGCAACAAACTTTAAAAAGTTTTCACAATATTATGCCACAAACTATTTTGATGTGCAATATAAAGTTATCCGTACGTATGAAAGGGTTGAGAGATCGTTAGTTCATTCATTAAGGTATCTATAAAACATTAAATTTACCGTAACTCATCAAGATAAGTTTTTGAGTCGATTAGTGATTTAACTCAGTATCAGAGCAAGAGGTCATGTGCTCGAATCCTTGTAATATCATTTTCTCCTCATTTAATATTGTTTACCACTTGTTGAGTCACGAATCCTTGTAATATCATTTTCTCCTCATTTAATATTGTTTACCACTTGTTGAGTCTGTAGCAAATTTCTAAGCCCACAAGTGAATGGGGAGCATTAATATATCTATAGCTTCATGTAATCCTCTTTTGAGGTTTTTTATCCCTCTCTTTTGAGGTCTCTTGTAATTTCACTCATCAATGAAATTGTTTCTTTCAAAAAAAAAAAAAGATAAAAAGTTACCATAACTCATGTTAATATATCTATAAAAGATAAAATTACCATAACTCATCCGTATAAATTTTTTGGTTGAGGGGTGATTTAACATCTTATGATTCATTTAGTTTCCAACCTGATTTAGCATTTGGATGAGGAGTAAAATATAAACACCGATTTCTTTCTAGAGAATTACAACACAAAAGACTTCAAGGAGTGGCTATCATGAGAGGTACCTGTGCTTTAGTTGAGGGGAATCCTGGGATAATAGTGTCTGCCCCACCTCTAACATGTGACTTACTGACAGAAACAATCAAGACAGCAATGAGCAAATCATTGTCAGAATTACCAAACTACGTAGGTTTAAGAATGCTCTTGTTTTAAAAAGGTTCCAAGTGCAACCACCTTAAAATCTTTTTAGGTTTTTGCTTTTGTTACGGGAGAAAGTTGTTTGGGTTTCATTATTAATCTCCTTGCATTTTTTTTTTAACAAGAAACAAACTTTAAAAAAGGAGTGAAATGAAAATGAAAAGAAAAAAGAAAGTAGAAAGATGATAAAACTACAACAAAAGCATCCAAACAACGCTAACAAGGAAATATAAATGCCTCCCAATTATTACAAACCATGCTAGCGGAGTAATGATCGGAAAGTTGTTTGGGTTTCAACGTATCCTTTCTTTTTTTTAAATAGAGAGTTGGGTCCCTCTTTATATTATGCTCATCGCCCACCCCACTAATCCCTGGATAAGTTTCACCAACCCGAAGGTGAACTAAAGATGTGGAGGGTTAAGAGAAGGGAGAAGAAATGGAGTGTGGGAGAAGAGGGCATTATATTGCAGTCCCATTGAAGGTTTAAAAAGCAGACAAAAAACTAACACAAGTTATAACATTGAATACTTTCTTTCTTCAAGCTTTTTAATGACTTGTTGCCCCCACTTTCCCCTATTTTAACAAAAAAACCATAAATGAGTTGCAACTAATAATGATTACAATACCGAGTGAGTAATCTTCAGCTCTTCTCTGGAGATTCCTAACTGTGGGAATGTGCTGCTTGGGAATTACCAAGTAATGCCTACAAAGTGGTAGTCCAGCATAAGAATGTTTTGCATCTATGACTTCAATCACAGAAGATAAATGCAGTGCAACTAACATTTTTGTGGTGGAAATTCCAAAGGCATCCCATTACAGTATAATTACTAGAAAAAAGAACAATGGGAAGAAAAGAGATGCCAGATTTCACGTAGATGACCATCAACTAAAGGAACATAACAAAAATGACAGATGAAAGATTAAGACGATAAACCCGCCATTTCTCTGATTCTTAGTAAGTGATAACATATCTCTTTCTGTACTCTCCAAAATTCATAATGGCAGTTGATATTCACTGTTAGTCTTAGTTGCCATACGGGGGCCATCCTGAAAGCACCTTCGAGATGGCTACCACTCACAGAGGCATTTCGAGGCCACTAAGACCATGCTACAATCAGGTCATAGATTTTTTTTTTTTTTTTTAAGATATCTTAGGAGTGTCACCATCTTGACTAATCTTACGAGACAATCTTCTGACTTTACTACATTTTGTCACCATAGATACTCATTCCCTTTAAGCTCTCTACATTTTTTTCATGGGCTTAAATCACCAACATCCAACCCAAGATGATTCAATCTGTTCATAGATATTACAGGCAAGCAAAAACTACAAATGTATATTGAATGGGAGAACATCTAAAAGACTGATAGAAACGAGCGACTAAATTTCTTGTACTCTGCAGATAACCATTGAGGACTTAAATTAATAATCACATTCAAGAATGTAAATTGTGAAAATTAGATCACAACGGAAATCATTTTGGGGCAGTTGAAATTTGGAAGACCCTCGTGACGATAAATCCTTTTTTTCTCATTACTTTTGCTCAAATTTTCGAAACCTTTGCTATTCTTTAGATGCAGATTTTCCATTGAATATAAAGCAACTGATGAACTGGGAATACAACAGTAAAAGCCTTCGTAAAGAAGCTGACCAAATGCAGAAATTATTTCCCCAAATGAAGATGCAATTAACACACAAGAAATTTTAAACACCTCGTGTCGATAGCAAACTGAATCAAACGCTATTAAGAAAATTAAGAAAAAAGGGTCTATTCTACTAAGATTACGAGGTTAAAATTACCTGACAGCAGAAGGGTTTATATCTTCAAAGGCTACAACTCTCTCGTCCTGCAGAACCCATATACTTAATCAGAGATCCTTCATTCAATCGCCCGTATAAGAGAAGAAGAAACACAGAGAAAATGGTTTTATTTATCAGATAACGAAAGGAGCAGACAAAATGGAGAAGGGCATTGGGGGCAGAATCGGAGACTCTCTGGCAGAAAATACAAGACGAAGCTGTTGCCGCCATTTTTTCCCCCACAAACTTCTCCCACCAATTCCCTATTTGCAGCGGGGCTTCCTATTGGGTTTGGCGCTAGCGTAGAATGGTTTTGATTTGAATAAAGATCAATTAAGATAAGATAAAACGAATTATATAATATACTTTCCGTAATAGCCACACCAAAAAAGGGCCAAAAAGAAAAAAGGAGCAACCTTTATTTCTTAATTAACTTAATGTTATTTATAAATTATAAAATTCGAACTTCGGCGCCGCGCCGCAGCTGAGAACCAAATGCGCAGATCCTTGCTTCACATTCTACCTCTCTTACCCAGAAGCTCTGCAACTCGAACTATGAGTTCTGAGTCAACTCAGCGCCTTTTTCAGCTAAAGTTTGACCCGCTTACCGGTAACTCGGAGTGGGTAGTCATCGAAGAAAGGGCGGAAGAAGGAGATGCAGACAATTCCCAGAAGCCCCTTTTGGCCACAACCTCATATTTGGACATGCTTAATGATTCCACTAGAAACAGAGCGTTCCGCGAAGCCATTGATAAGACAATATCAAAACCTTGCCATGTTCTCGATATTGGGTATTCTTTTTAGTCCTCTTTTAAGCTTTCTTTCTCCGATAAATGGTGAAAAGAAAATGGTAATCAGATTGAGTTTGCTGTTTTTTACCTTCTCGTGTGCTCGTATATTTTAAATTTTGTTTAGGTTGTATTGATTCTTAACATTTTTTTTGTTCAGTTTGTCATTCATAGTTGAGTTTTTTCAGTAGATAAAAATTTGTTAGCTTTTATGGATCATGATTTCGAAATTGTCGATATAATCGGTGTAGGAGTTCATTCATTTCGTAAGAGATTTTCAAATGGTTGCTCAGCCTGGAAATGGATTCTAGGTTCACTGACTTTCAGTGGCAGAGCCAAGAAGGAAGGTGGGCAATTTGCACCCGTAGTTTATCATAAATTCAAAAAAAGAAAATATAAAATGCTTAAGATTTTATAGTTTTTTTCCCCCTAATTTGCCGCTTACAGTTTATTAAAAGTTACAACCTGAAATTTTTCCCCGCTCTAAGAAAATTTCTTGATTTGCTCCTATTGACTTTGTGGTTCATCTATTTTTTCCAGTGCTGGAACTGGCTTGCTATCAATGATGGCTGCACGGGCAATGAACTCTGTCGTTGGTGATTCCAAGAGAATGGTTACGGCCTGTGAATCTTACCTTCCAATGGTGAAGTTGATGAGGAAAGTTTTACGTCTTAATGGGATGGAAAGGAAAGTAAAAGTTATTAACAAACGGTCTGATGAACTTCAATTTGGCGCTGATATTGCTTCTCGAGCTGATGTCCTCGTGAGTATCATAGACATTGGCTAGTCTACAACTTTCTTTTATAATAAGACATTTGTTGGTTAATATGAGAAGGTGCATAAAGTTACTTAACTTACAGGAAAGCCATTGAGATTTACATGGTTAAAACTGAAAGAGAAAAAGGACAAGAAGAACAAATTTGGAGTTGTTTCTCTTCTCACTATCTTTAGACTGTTCCTTCTTTTCTTGTTTGTTTTCCCACAGTCTTTCTGCCGAATTTCTTAGCTATCATTAGTATATGGGATGTCTTTGAAAGCAGCTGACTGTAATAAATTGTTTCTTGGACTTTCCTTTGTGAATTCAGTATATTTCAGTTATTTTTTGCCCTTTGACTTTCATTGATTAAGTCTCAGTCTGCCAATTAATTGAAGGTTAGTGAGATTTTGGACTCAGAACTGTTAGGTGAGGGGCTTATACCAACCTTACAACATGCACATGACAAGCTGTTAGTGGAAGATCCACTGACTGTGCCATACAGAGCAACCATATATGGCCAGGTATTTAAAAAAACCTTCATTGCTTCAGAATCTTTCATTTTTTTTGTGTATAGAAGTTTCCTTTTCTTATTAACTTCCTATTGCTATGAGTCAAAATATGCAGTATGGAACAAGCATTCTTCTATATTTGTAGTTTCCTCAAACAGTGACGATAGCCGCTTCATTTTACATGAACCAAACCAAGGGATGGTATCAAGATTTCAGATATATCTCTGTTGACTGCATGCATCCATGGGCTGTGATTGAATGGACTATAAATTTGTTATAATTTGCTGAAAATACACTAAAATGGTGAAAGTGAGAACTATTCATTCCATTTCCTTGGGTACTCTAGTAAAATAGTGGTCCTATAGTTCTTATCACATGTCACAGTGGGGAGTCATGTTTAACATCTGCAAATATTATCCTAGCTTTCCAAGTTATGGAAGGTATTCTGTTTTAAGAATCTCTTTTTTTTGTTTCCTTCTCAGCTGGTAGAGAGCACATACTTATGGAAGCTTCATGATTTACATAACAATGAAGCAAAAGCATCTGATGGCATCCATCTTGTTCCAGTAGGACTCGAGCCTATCATATGTGTTAAGCCACAACAATACGCTATGCACTGTGATGCAATCACCAATGAAGTGAAACTGGTAATGACCTAAAATTTGGACCTGATTTTCATAATCTTCAAGTGGTTTTATTACTATTTTTTTCAGGGTTCATCCAGCTCTCAGAACCCTTCAAAGTTTTTGAATTTGATTTTTGGAAACGTCCAGAGAGTCATGCCGAAAACGAGCTGCATATCAAGGCAACTGAAAGTGGTAGAGTTCATGCCGTAGTGTCATGGTAACCCCTTCATTCTTGTGATAGTTGTTCTCTGCCCAATTCTTTAAATCAATCACTGTAATTGTTTTCTAATGTGTGTCTCTCTAGGTGGATGCTGCAGCTTGATCGTGAAGGAACAGTCTTTTATTCCACTGCTCCAAAGTGGATAAGTCCTCCTAAGAACATAAGTGAGTCGTAGACAAGAGTCGTGCGCTACATTCTACTTCGGAATGGTGCCATTTAATTCTACTATGACCTATAATCATAGACTTATCTGTGCTAACAATGCAAATAGTTAATATTGGCATGATGTATTCAATATTATTTCCTTCTTTTGTAAAATCGAATGCTGATGGCAAGCATTGATAAGGTGGAGATTAAAAATTTTCATAATGGGAAAATATTTATGGCCTTGGGGCCAAATTTGGGGGAAGCTTTAAAATTTAGGTTAAAGTACAAGTTCTGTACAGAACTTTTAGGGTTGTGTTTAATTGATCTCTGAACTTAAAAAATGGTTTTGAACTTTCAATTTCGAGTCTAATAGGTCTTTGAACTTTCAAATTTTGTTTATTAAGTTCTTAACCTGTTTGATATGTTTAAAAATTGATGGACCTAAGGCACAAGATTGAAAGTTTAGGGGCATGTTGTATTAGAAGGCGTTTAGGAGCTACTTTCTCTTTTGAACTCAGTATTTCAAATTGGATGGTTAATAGCAGGACCTTTCTTTTTTTAACCAGCAGGGACTTGTTATTGCTTAGTGCTTTTCTTTAGTTACAAAATCTCACAACTCAATCCAACTGATCTACAGCTACAGTAGAAAATCAGAATAAAAATAATGTTTGTTTCTCAAAGATTTACAAAGTGATTAAGCTTGTTTCCATACTTCAACAGGAGCTGGTGATTGGTGTGACCACTGGAAACAGTGTGTTTGGTTTATCCCACGCAATGGTGCGTCCATATCCAAGGATGAAAAAGTTCATCTAATTGCTTCTCATAATGATACTACCTTCTCATATCATCTGAAGACCCAAATCCCGAGAGGTGAGGTTTTGCAGCATGGCATCAATGCTGAGAATTTTAAACTCATATACCCACCAGAAAGAATTGCAGTTTATGGAGACAGAGAATGGAGGCTTGCAATGTCACTGGCAATAACAAATGCAGTATGTTCTTATACTTGAACTTGATGCTATCTGCAGAATCTCTATGTTTATAATCATTACCAAGGATTATCTTTGACATCATTATAGTCACAGGGAAGAGCTCTCTCTGTATGCATGGTTGCGGATGATAGTGTTTTCTTAACACTTTTGGTTGCTAGTATTTTGAAAACGACGCGTGTATTATCGTTGTTTCCGGGGATTCGGGAAAAGGGTGGCAAGTATTTGCAGGTGGTTGCTTGTGCGAATGGTATCTCCGCGGATAGTATAAAAGTTATTGAAAAGAGGATATCGTGCTTGACCTTGTACGATACATTTGAGAAAAAGGTGAAAAAGCTCACCAACTCGTTCTTGTATTCTTTCTTCATACACCATGATGCTGCAAGTTAAAACTCCTGAAAAATAAATAGAGTTTCAATTTCAATTTATAAGATTTTAAACGTTGTTTTTTCCAAATGTAGTGCCTCGCTTATCAGTTTTTGTTCAATCTTTAGGTTGACTTGCTTATCAGTGAACCATTCTACTATGGAAATGACAGTGCACTCCCATGGCACAACCTAAGGTTTTGGTAAGAAGTTTGCCAAGAAATTCAATATCGTCTTTTAGTTGTTATAGAGAACACATAGACATGTTATCTGGATGCGGATGCCTGTTAGCAATGTTGTGCCGACAGTTTATTTATGATAGTTTTTACATGTTTAAGATCCAAATTTTATGTTTGGATGCTTAATAAGTCAAGTTCTTAAAGTAAAATCTGCATATTACAGATTTCTTCACTTTAAACTAACTACCATATTGCAACGGATTCAACTAAAGAATGTGTTTTGTCCCCCAAAAATCTCTGTGTTTTGTCTTTCTAATCTATTAAGACAAACAAAATAGTTCCCTTCTACACAAATAGCACATGGGTTGTGCTACTGGCTCTTTCCCTTTGACTTCACCCTCTATCAAATTCAAGTTAAGTTTGTCACTATTAGTTGGGTCTATCTATCACTTATCAGCGTAACTTTTAAGTGTTTAACTCCTTTTAATTGTTTTGCCCAGGAAGGAGCGAACAATGCTCGATTCGGTCCTATCTGATGATGTACTAATAATGCCTAGTAGAGGCATATTGAGGGGCTGTATCATGTCATTTCCTGTAAGATCTCTTTTTACCTTGAAAATACGTGACCAATACTGAAGTTATCTTCACTATTCAATAGAAGTCTTAGTAATAATTTGTGCGACGTATTTTCAAGGATCTTTGGAATAGTCGTCGCCGGTTGGGAACAATCGAAGGTTTTTATCACTCAGTTGCAAATAGCACTTTAGGAGCTTGTGGTGAGTTGCCTGAAGGAGAAGAAGGCCCATGTCTGGCTTTCTATATCTGGCAGTGTGGAGAATATGAGGTAATCCCTGTATAGAAAATTAACTTGTTTAATAAGAATGTCAATGACACTGATATTTGGTGCAACTTTCTTGAAAACTTTCAGGAACTCAGTGAGATATTTACATTGATGGAGTTTGATTTCTCAAAACCAATAAGCCCTTATAGTGGGAAAAGCCAGGTATTACAATATCTTTCATCCTCATGTTGTCTGGTTTTTTGCTTTTGGAAAAAAAAAAGAACTTTGTTTTGTTTAATTTCTTTGTTTGAGAAGCAAGCTGCTAAAAGATACATCAAATATCTCAGTACTCACACATTCTTCAGTAAATAAAACTGTCCGAGGAGACAGAGGAGGTTTGTTTTCTATGTTTCCAACAATCTTCATGATATGAAAACTCTGGTGAATTGGAATTAGAAACCTTTTGGGTATGTGAACCCCTACTTCATAAACACTAAAATCCTCAGATTGTTCAATTCTTAAGGTTTAGGTTAGACGTGGATTGCTTTGAGATCAAAGTCCTCGAGACAAAAGAACAGGTTCCTTGGCCTAAAGTTTGAACACTCCACGAGAGAAGATGATCAATCCTATTTGAATGTTCTCGGCATGCAACTCAAGTCATGATATTGATAAAGTTCAAGAAAGCTCTTAGCTAAACTTGAAAGGAAAAACTCACCAACTAAAACTCGTTCATCAAAACTGATCTACGTTGAAAGCAACCTAATGGCAAGACTTTAGATAGCCTCCCAACTAAATCCGAGATGACACATCATCAATCATTGCAAAATGATTAAAAAAAAAAAACCCTATTTAATATGTTTAAGAAAGGGTTAATTGAAAAGTAATAAAATTACATAAAAAAAAAACTCTTTAATAAAGGTATCCTAAGTTGAAGTCATGATGGTTCATATCACTCATTTCTGAGATGTGCTTGTATTTAGCTGTTCTTTTGTTTTTGAATCCAAAAAAGGAAGATCGAGTACCAATTTGTAACACGGTCTGTAGCCATTTTGGGGCTTTTATTTGAGGAATAGGAAACTGGAAGTAAAAATTTAGAAGCAAAAACCCATAACAAGAAATGTGATACCCTCCAAACTCGTTCAGGCTCCCACACATGGAGAACTTAATAATTTAAAATCCTTATTGTCTCTCAAAACTGGTCTTCGGGTGAAGCAGGCTTCCTCGAGAAGTCGTGGGATGGGCCATGAACATAATGCAAAGAGTACGACCTCTTGGTACCCTAGTTATCAAATAGACCCCAACTTTCTTACCTTATCTTGACTATCAACGTTACACCACGGGTTGGATTAGTGGCATTAGGAAAGTGTTTAAATTCTTTGATAGTCACCTTTCTAGAACAAAATCCTAGTATTTCTTGACAGCCATATGTTGTAAGGTTTTACCATCCGTCTCGTGAAATTTGTTGGAGTGCGCATAAATTGACCCGAATGTTCATGATACAAAAAGAAAAATCTTGACTATCAACAGTATAATAATAGAATCATGATCCATCGAGATTCAGCCCTTCGTCTCTCCAAGTTGTCCCTTCCCATACTTCGAACTCATCAATAGTATAATAATATACTATTAGATTAGTCGTGGTGCACGTCAGACCCAACTTTGATGTTTGTCTTGCAGGTTAAGGTAACTAAGGCTGGAATATGTCATGGAATAGCATTGTGGATTGATTGGGTAATGGATCCAAAGAATTCCATTGTCATATCCACAGGCCCAGGTAGTACTGCCTTCATTTCCAAAGAAGTCTGATACTGACATTTTCTGGTAATTTAACTGCTTCTCATTTCATCATATACTGATTCAGATAAGAGATTCTGGAAACAAGGAGTAAAGCTTCTCGCCAACCCTGTGACAGTCGGGGCTCGAGGTTCTGGTGAGGGCAGAGAATGCTGCTCTGCTGTCATCGAAGCTTCCTTTGATCCATCAAGCGGCGAGCTCGACATAAGACATACTTTTTTGCAGTGCAGTGAAGCTTTTGGCCCTCGAGCTGTTACCGATGACAAAACGGTGACAATAGGACAGTGACTATCCCGAGTCAAACCAAAAATTTTTGAAATAGATAGATCAAAATGGTAGGAGGGACATCTAGAGCTTGTAGCTTGTGGTTCATAATGACTTGTAACTTATTTATTTTTTTAAAAAAATTATATTTCAAACTTATATTGAATATTTACTAGGATATGTAAAATTTTGAATCTATATCTAATGGCTATTAGAGACGTGTCACATTAAATTAACTTTTCTTTTTTTGTTAAATAATGACGTGGAATGGCCATGGTACTCAAAAATTGTGGGGTTTTGGTTGTATAGTCCTTTTCCTAAGGGAGAATTTGTTTTTATCCACTTTTTTCAAACTCAAGTTTTCTAAACTTTGCATGATTGTTGCCCCTCCCCGAATTTTTAGATTTCCCTCCTTTTTCTTTAAAACAATGTATTTTCTCTGGCTTATAATTTTAAAACTTTATTCTTCTTCCTTCCCAACATAACCCAAAAAAAATCTCTCTTTCTTTTTTTTCTACCCATTTTTCATTTTAATCTCTCTCATTCACCCCCCCCCCCCCCTTTTTCTGTTGTTCATGAAATGTTGACAAGAAATAGTTTTTGGGTTTTCTTCCAACTTATGTGAAATCGTGAATATTGCTGAGTCTTCCATTGTGAGCTAAAGAAATCTGAACAAAAACTAACAAGATCCAAGACATAGATCGAGATCTAATGGAGAGTGAGAGAGAGTGAGAGAGAGTGAGATATGAGTAAGAACGAGAACAAGATCTGAGAGATTTGAGCAAGAGTGGGAGCGAGATCTAACCAAGAATGCTTACCTTGAACGAGATCTGAGAGATGTGAGCAATCGTGAGATCTGAGCGAGAGTAAGATCAAGATTGAGATCTGATCGAGAGCTAGATTGAAATCTAATCGAGAACGAGTGAGGGGTGGGAGGAAGAAAGAGGAAAATTAATTTTTATGGTTGAAAAAATCGAAGAAAATGGAAAGACAAAATAATAATAATGAAAACTAATTCATTTATCTCCTCTCTCCCTCCCTCTCGCTCACTCTCTCGTCTCCCCTCTCTTCCCTCTCTCCTCTCTCGTCTCCCCTCTCTTCCCTCTCTCCTCTCGCCCACTCTCTTCTTCCTCTCTCCTCCTCTCTCTCTCCACTTACTCTGTTCTCTCTCCTCTTCCCTCTCTCTGCCTCTCTCTTCTCCTCTTTTCTCTTTTATTCCCTTCTATTAGTTAAAAAAATAGAAAAAAATACATATAGCATCGCGGAAGAGAGAAAAAGAGAAGAAAAAAAAGGAGAGAAAGAATGAGTTAATGGAAAATGAGAGAGAGAAAAAATCTAGAAAATGAGGGAAAGGGAAATAGAGGGAGGGAAAAATCTGTAAAAAGAGGAAGGGAACAAGAGAGAGAAATTAAAAAAGAAAAAAAAGAGTGGAGGGGTAATGAAAGTAAGTTAGTATTCAAAGCGATGTCAATAAAGATTAGAAAACATAAGTTTTGAAAAAAGTGAGTAAAAAACAATACTACCCTGATAAAAATACTATAGAGCCCAAAAATCAAAAATTGTGACTATTGTCGATCATGATGTTTATTCTTAACCRTCGTAATTATCTAATAATCATAGTGATCCTCAAGTGTAAACATTCAACTAATTCTTATATATCATTCATAATTTTGTGTCTATACTGTTCTTAATGCTTCGTGAACATTCACTTTTTCTTAATTTTGGGATTGTGTTGCGGAAATGATTGGTTGAATCTCTATAAACCTAAGATGAGAAATATAATCTTACAGAAGCGTTTGATTCACACATCTATAGAGTCAATTTCTCGTATCAAATCCTTGAAATTGTTTCTAGTTTTCTCCATACAGTTAATTTTCTTTTTGAAGACGGAGATTGTTTTTAGGTTGAGAGAGAATGTGACATCCTTAATAATATGTTTTATTCTCGAGTACATCACTTTTAACCACAGAAACTCTTCTTTTTCGAGCTTCTCAAGTGAAGTGGTCACGACCCTAATTCCTTTCTTATTTATTTTGTGATTATTATTATTCATTTTTTCCATGATTTTTTAAAAAGGAAGAAAAATAATCCGTCAAAATTTTTATGATTTTAAAGTTTATTCCGTGATTCTTAAAAAAAAAAGTGAAAAAAATTCAGTCGAAATTCCCATGATTCTTAAAGAATGAAAAAAATGACCATTTAAAAAAATGAAAAATATATAAATTTGTGGGATATTTAAACTCTAATTTTAGATGGTGGCTAGATTAATTGTCCAATATACATTTTTTTAAAAATTTTACAATCATATATACTATTAGAGGGTGTAAATAAAGCTCTGTAAACAAAATTTGTATTTGCCCCTAGATACAAATCAAGAAAAAGTAATGCAGATTTTGGAATAACTATATTGCATATACTAATAAATATCTTTTTTTTTCAAAGAAAATAAACATCGTCGTTTAACTAGTAGAATGATTCGGGTGAGAATAATGTTTGAACTTTCCTCATTAGCTCCACTTAATTAATAGCGAAAAAAGAAAAAAAGAATAACCACAACATCGAAATTACCGGATCTTGTACTAGTTAATATTCCCAACACAATAATATAATATAAGATGTAGGGACGTAAATTAAAAGTAAAAAATAAAAAAAGGCGTTGATATAAAAAATAAAAAATAATAATTACAAAAGAAGAAAGAAAGGAACGAAAAATAGAGATTATTTTGTTTGTTGGTTCAAAATCGGAGGAGAATGGAAAGCGCAATGAGCCGTTGCTGTAAGTGTGTACATGGCAGTCCCATGCACGAAATTACACAAAATTTGGAAATGAAGTACTCCGTGGTGGTAGCGTAGGGGTGCTCGGGGCGTTGAATTTTGCATGTCACTAAGCCGTTGGAGGCTACGATAGCTAGAATCTGGAGATGCGAGTCCAGCGAGAAGTTCGGTGTCAGATGGAAGGAGGGCGATGGCGGCGCACCATATTAACTATATTGGAATTATGTATTAATTTACGTTTCCTTATGACATATTTATAGGAATAAATGGTCGGGAAAAAAAACATAAAGTAATCAAATTGGGAGAAAAATTATAGGCCAATCAAATAAAGAAAACATTTCTCTTTTTTTTTTTTTCGTTTTGAAATAAGAAAACGTTACAACATGCAACAATTGAAAGAAAAAAAAGTATATATGTGTGTGTGTATACATGTTTTTTTCCTTAAAAAGATAAATCTTTTTGTTTTATTTTTAAAAGATAATTTGTTTTTATTTTTTTAATTTTTTTAAAAATTTTATTTATGTTAGTTTTTTTTTTAAATGTTTTATTATGGTTTGTTTTAAAAGTCTGATTTTATATTAATATTTTTCTTAGATGGTTAAACCTAGTTTTCCATATCGAGAACGAAAATTTTGGTATATTCTCTCAAGATAGGTAAGTTTACTCCCCTATTTTTTTTGTTTGTTTTTTCGTAGTTCTTTGGTAAAAGTTTTGAGATATTTATTTTTACTTTTAGAATAAAAGATTTTTAAGGACTTTTTCCCCTTAAAATTTTCCATAATTTTTTGTTTGAATCCTGTTTATGAAACTGTTTTTGGGCTATTACGAGACTCTTTTTACCTAAAAAGTTTACCTATTTGAATCTCATAAACTATGACTTAGTGTTTCGATTTTTACTGTATGTTTCTACCAAATTTTAAAGATTTTCTATACACTTTTCAGATTTGATTTTTCTATAAAAAGCAATAAATTGCTAATTGTTTTGTGGAAATTCTGGGAAATGTTATTTTATATAATAGAAAATTTTCCAGATTTAAAATTCCCAAATTTTCAATTGATCAGAAGATTTTAAGCTTCTGAGAAACTTTTTGTAAATTTAGCATGTATCGAAAAGTTTTGAATTGATTTCGTATCAAAAGTAAGTATTTGTTTTGTATATTTATTTGAAAGATATTTTTTATTGATTTAATAGGATAGTCGTTCTGAGGAATGTTTTGTTTATTTGGGGTAGTAGTCTAATTTGGAATTGACGATGTATTTCTGTTCTAGCTTATTTGTGGGGTTTGGTATTCTTTGGGAATGAAGATTTGTGTATGTTATTCCCTCGCGTGGCCTCACACTTAAGTAACTGTTTTGTTTGTTCTGGTCGATATTAATTCGACAACTCTGATTATATTGAAGCTTCTGATTGATTGGTGTTACCGACGGGTATTCACATATCTTCTGTAGGCTACCCAAATAATGCAACCTACCACTCTGATTTTGAAAGTATGAATGAATAAAAGATTGCTTCGAATATTTGAATGATTTAGTTTATTTGAATGTTTGAAAGTTGTGCTAAATGTTTTAGGACTTTTATAATATTTGATATGTTGAATTTTTGTTTACAAATGTTTTGAAAGGAAAATAAATTTCAATGGTTGGTATGGAAATTGCTTATTGAGTATTTCTGTACTCATTTTTCTGTTTTCTAAATGTTTTCAAATGAAGGTTCAAATGATTGCTCAGTGATTGAGCGTTCTGGCACGAGGAGTTGGAAATCTTTAGTATTTTCCATTTTTTTAAGCTTACGAGAACTTAGTTAGTTCGGCTAGTTATTCTTTTGTTTTATTATGGTATAAGTTTTTGTTTCAAAGTTGGACTTGCCCTCATCTTTTGTCGTAATATCAAATTAAATAAAGAAAATTTTTCTTTAAATATATTGGTTATTTGTTTACACTTCCACATTACTGTTAGAATGACCGTATTAGAAAATACGAGTTGTTATAGAATGCTCAATGAAGCCCAAAAATCAGAGCAGACGCTGTCACTACACTGTTTGAATTTTTCTATAATATAATGCTCAACCAATTAGATCTAAGACAAAAAGTTTTGGAATTTTTCTAGCAACCTAAATAGTACAACCATGTCTCATATAATTATGGCGTTCAAATTTAGTACTACTTTTTTTCTGGTGGGAGAGTATCATGTTTCTCCCTCCATATAAAACATTTCAAAATTACCCAAAACCTTAATAACGTCAAATCAAATATGTTGTCAAATTATTCGTATATTTACCTTTTTCCAAAGTACTCTCCAATTACTCCCCTATCCTTGTCCTTCAATACCTACACGCTACACGGCCTCTTCATTTGTAATTTAAATTTCTTTTTTATTATTTTTTAAAAAATATATTAACTTTTTGAAGTTTTGTTTTTTAAAATATCAGTTTCTCCTCTCAATTACACTCTC